TTAATTCACTGTTAGGTTTTTCACAAATAAAGTTTCCCCAGATCTGTCAAAGCTTGTCGGAGACACAAAAGCTCAGGTGTCTCTTTAGAAAGGAAGCTACTTTGGTGTTTGTCCCCACAGTATTGATTTTTTTTTTGGTTTAGAATAGGGCTGCATGATAAATCGCATGCGATATTTAACGCGCATCTTGTCAGAAAGCCGGTTCTGTAATCAGCGGTAAATCTCCATCACGTGCGTGTTTTCACATTGTGTAGCATTTACTACACAGAGCCGTTGTTCACTGACGAGCTGCGCAAAAAATCGCGCGAATATGAACGTGGTTTTGCGCAGCTCGTCATTGAACAACGGCTCTGTGTAGTTAATGCTGCTCAATTGAAAGCACGCACGTGATGGAGATTTACCGCTGATTACAGAACCGGCTTAACTGATAAGATGCGCGTTAAATATCGCATGCGATTTATCGTGCAGCCCTATTTAGAATTAAAAACAATAAACATAACACATATTACCGTTGCACTTATCTGTACATAAATGCAGTTATTTTTAAGCGGTTGTTGATGCTGGGGAGAAAAGTATTGTAATAATGTAAATTATGTGAAAAATAATGCGTTTTTCGAACCACCAAGCATGAGAGCATGTTTTAGTACACCCCCAAAACAAAATCAAGACTTTGCAAAAGAGCATAATAGGACCCCTTTAACTCTATAACTAAGTTCAATTACATAGAACAAATATTCATCTAAAGATTGTTGTTATGAAAAAAATATTTTTCCTGTTCCTGCTTTATCAGACTGTAATGTCCCTGACATGACCTCATAAATATTTGCATTTGTCTGTCAGTAAGAGTTTGGCTGTGAGACCTTTTATTTTCTCCTGTTTATTTAGACACTTAAACACAGATGGACTGACGTTACATAAACTCCAAATCTTCCCACATCAGGAAATTAAAATATACAAGACATCCTCCCCTCCTCTGGGCCAAACTTGCTGGAGGCCGGATGTGTTAAACGTTGTATAAAGAAACAACTCTTTTTCATTATCACTTTGTTTATTGTTTCCATTTAAAATCATGTAATGCTGGAAATTGGACTATAAGACATTTAATGCTATGACTGCAGTTTGTAGTTTGAGAATGTTTTTTATATCTATCAATGTATTTATTCTGTAAAAAGTAAAATATAAAAAGTAAAATATCTTTTGGATCTGTGAATCATGTTGTAATATAATGTGATATAACATGGTCTTCCTTGCTCTTCCAATCTATCATTATTCCCATGTTTTCCTGTGCCTCATTAAGATGTAATCAGGCAATAGTATTTCCCCATAATAGTTACATAACTGACCGATGGAATTATTTTTTATGAGTGCAAAATAAATCTTTGGGTTTTTGCAAATGTGCTGATGTTTTTGACTATAATGATTTTGATATGAATTCAAAATTGAATTCAAATATGAATTTGACTACTAAATAAGGAAATCAAGAAATGACTGAAAGAATAGCATTTGTAAAGTGACAAGACTGCAATAATAACAGATGCTAGCATTGACAAGGACTTGTGTGAGGGGGTTAAGAAATGCATACAACTCTAGTTTAAACAAGTACAAAGATGTTTTCTTTACTTATAACTTCTAGAGAGAAATAGCTGGACAAGGATAAAACTTTCTAATGCACATGTGTGCACTTTGTAGTGCACACTTTGGAAGGCTATGTGTTCAGCTGTACACATACAGTAAGAATTTGTGTCAAAACTGAAGTACACTTTGGGCTTAATTCTAAGCACAGCTCTAGTTCCCAGAGCACTGACTGGCCAGGTTACAGGAAGTATGCATCCTGACCCAGAGGGCCACATCCTGTAGCAGAGTTATTTTGAGCAGCACAGAATTTGCGACAGCAGCAAGACAGACTTTGCTACAGGGGACCTTTTTTAAAGATCACATTTGTGTGAGATACAGTTGGATACTTTCCTGACTAGATCAACCAAAGACGCACACAAATTGATATCCACACACATTCTTGTCCTCTCATGTAGATATAAATATGATTTTGCTACTGTAGATACATTATAAAAGGAAGTAGCATAAGGATGTAGCCACTGTGGCAGTTGATTACCTTGCCATATTGGATAGTTCATGTAGTTTCTACTGGCTTGAGAACCAGGTCTTGAAGGGATTGTGTCATGCCCACTCTTCACTGTGAGGAGAAAAAGACAATTAAATACATTAAGCAGTGGTGTGCCACAGGGTTCTATTCTTGGACCATTTTTATTTTCATTGTATGTCCATTAGACTAAATTTTTCATAAATACAACATTTTTTATCATTTATATGCTGATGATACAAAACTATTGTATATATTGCACTCCAAGTGGGTCTTAATTGTTTCGTTCACTAGTACATTGCTTAGGCAAGGTTAAAGCCTCGTTGGCCAGTACATTTCTGCATCTTATCACTAATAAGGAGTGTGTTGTTGTTTGTTGTTTTGCCAGGCTTCTGGCCCATACAAAGAAGAGCAATAGTATTACTCCAGTTTTAGCGTCTTTACATTGGTTGCCTTTTTATTTTAGGATTCAGTTTAAGATTATTTAAGATAAAAAATGATAGGGCCTTTTCTGTTTTCTACTTTCCAACTATGTAATTATTTTCCAATTAATTTTTTTTTCTGACAATGGATGCGTTTAATTTAAGTATAAATACATTTTAAAATTAAACGTCTTGGAGACGTTGCCACAGTTCTTCTGGATTTAGTCTGTCCCAGTTTGTTCTGTTTCTTCATGTCATTCCAGACAGACTGCATGATGATGAGATCAGATCTCTGTGTGGAGCACTGGCTGTTGTCAGACTCCTTGTGCAAACAAAAATCTCACTGGATTATTACAATTAATGGCAAAATGAATGTTTGGAAATGTAAACTGATATTTCCTACCGACACACTACAGCAAAAGTTAGAACAAGCTAAATTAAAAGCGTTTTTTGCTGGTGAAAATTCTAGTGTTCTAATCATTTTGGCCAACACTGTATTTTCATAAATGACCACACAAGCTGTATTTTCATAAATGACCACACAATTAAGACCGCACTGGGCCCCGGGGCTATGACTTACTGCAGGGCCCCCCCATCACAATAATGGTATATATATATATATATATATATATATACTGTATATATATATATAGGGTACAATGGAGCTAAAGGCCCACCTTAAGAAAAAATGTGCCATTCACTGCGCCTAAAATGTATAATTGCAGAAAAAATATATACG